TTGTCGTGCCTCTCCCGTCCTGACGTAACGAGAAAGTCATTCATTGTCTACGAAACGAGCGAAATGAAAAAAAAAAGAAAGACAAAAATATTCCACAAGGCTCTTCGCATAAGTGCACGCGTTAATAATTACGATTAATCCGCTAATTATCAGCGGGTTCTTTTAATAGCCTGGAAAACGCTGCGACGTTTAATGACTAGTGTCACGGATGTCACGCTGCCCTAGTTCTCAAACAATTCGCCAACTTCACAATTGTTATACATATAGCCTCCTTTCAACCGCTGCTACGGTGAGTCCGAATTAATTTAACATACGGTATAAAAAGAAAAAGGAAAAGAAGAAAAGTTAAAATATCACCACATTCAGTTATAACTTTTGTTTGTGAAAAATTAGAAACTGATCTCATCAATGTCCAGCAGGTCCGAGGAGGTTAAAAAGCGTGGTCTTTGTCCTCCAGTACGAGTTTCGTTCGATCGTTACCCATCCACGCCATAATGGCGCTGGGCCAGAGAGCCCCGAACTCTTGGCTCGCTTCCGAATTTTTTTTTCCATGCAATTTTCCCGTCCGATTTCTAATGAATAAAAGATCGTGGATCGAAGCTGTTCGGTTGGACGGTCGAAAATCATCGGTCGCCATCGAAAATTATTCTCCGCCGAGGATCCCAGTAGCCGCGGAGGCCATCACGCTAGCCAGAAGGAATACGTTTATTCCCCATCGTCAAACGGCTGGGGGATCGGGCCTCCTAGACCCTGCTTCGACGGGCAATTATTCGAAAATTACACGAGCCTATCCACTTTCTTGGGATTTGTTTCGAAACGAAACTTACTCTACACGCGATCCCCATCATCGACCACCACCGAGCAACCCCCGATAACCGATCGAATGCTCGCTGACGATATTCGGATTCTACATTCGTTGACTTGTTTTGTTCGTTAGAGAGTAAAGATTTTCAAAGGGAGTTTTATTTATAAGGGTGCAAAGTCGTGGAACTTACGAAATATAAACAGTGTTGCATTTGGTTCTATACTACTCTTCATCGTTCTTTGGTATCATTAGGGACGTTAATAATCTGCTGGGGCCCACTGGCCCCTCTACAGCTCGGGTACCTCGGGATTGCTAAACCCGTACTGTAGCTGGAATCAAACACAGCTACAGCCCCTGAGGGCAAAGTCTTCAAGACTTTTCTAGGTATTCAAGACTTCCAAGACTTGAAACTTTCTAATTGGTACGTTTTAAACATTCAGGAATTTTCATGCATTCATGTCACTCAAGACTGTCAACCTTCGAAACTTTTCAGACTATCGGGTTCTCCCGTTCTTTCTAGGCCTTCAAGACTTGCATATCTCTAGATATATTTCAAATTTCGAATGCAATCGTGACACTTCTTTTTCTAAAATTTCTCAAAATCAACAAAGCATTCCTATCTTTCAAGAGTTGCCCATCAAACGTTTTGTAATCAAAACTTTAACGACTTCCTGGCCGTCCAAGTTATAAGAGACCGTTTGTTTAACAATAAACACCTATACCAGGGCAATTTATTTTCCCCGTGTAACGCGGGTCGCCAGCGAAGAGTCATCAAAACAAACATGTCTTCCTCGTCGTCCTAGCACACGTGATCCATCGGGCTTCGCTTCACGCGAGCTCGTTTCCCTTGCTCCTATTCTCCTCTGTCCACGTTATCCAACCGTGAAATCTATATATAAAAAAAAAAATGAAAATATATCTACACATTTCCACGGATCAAGATTAGCCACTGTCTAAACCGCGGTTTCACCGAAGCGATTTCACGTGCTGCAATTTAACGCGAACGTAACGCGATAGCGGACGTGCTTAAATCGTGATAATGAGGCGGGCACGTATGTCGCAAGTGTATGAAGTTAACACCGCTTAATAATACACGCGGTCTCGCTGTGATCCCACGCTATCGATAACCGTCAGTCCAGTTTATGCCACTTTCGAGGGTATCGATAACGTAACAACTGCGTATTCCCACGAACACGTACAAACGCTCCGTTGTGAAAAAAGAAAAAAAAAAAAATTTTTATCACACTCGGCCGTCACGTGTCCTGTCCTCTCCTGTCCACCGTTGCACGGAAATTGCACGCACGGAGTCCGCGGCGGTAACGAGACACCGGCTGCTGTTTATTGCCCGCCATCACGCTGAAATACAGCCTCGTAACGGGAAATCTGTCTAACGATCGAGCCTCCCGATGGACAAAGTTCCGCTAACCGTCGCTGACGGCGTCTCTTCCGCCTGTGAGAGGGATTCATTCGACCTCTTCAGGATTAATCGCGTGTTAACCTTCGAGGAGACTCGGGGGAGGCTTTAGGGAAGTAGGATCCTTGTTTCATATTCCAGGGAAGATGTTGGGAGCTGATAAGAGTGTGAGGCAATCCTCTTTGAAGAGTCTTCCAAAGTTTGGTAGATGTACCAATTGGGTACATCGATTTCGTAGATGTTGTCTGCAAAAAGAGGTGCTGGAACTTCTGACATGAAGCCGCAAGGCATATCCTCCGGCATTCCTATCTTGCCATCTAGTTGTTAACTGACCAATTAATAGTATCAAACGTTGCTGTCATTGGCAAGCAGACGACGCTTCCAAGCTGACCGAAGGTACGACACATTGTCCCGGTTCTCATCCTCAAATAAGTGGTTGCGTAAAGCGCTAATTCAATTAGCTTAGACTGCGAGAAACCGCCATTGGAGAACGAAATTAGTCACGATACATCGGTCGTGATAAAGTTCCACTAATCAAAAACTGCGACGGAAGACATTGAGACGCAACATCGAGTCACCTAGAACCAGTAAAACTATTCATCTTTGTCGGTACGAAAGGTGAATGTGTACAAAAGAAGAAATTATTATTCCGACTTTAGAGGCCTGGGAAGATGAGTGCGACCATGAAGACCCAACATTCCTGAGGTCCACGAAATTCATTCTAGAATCCACGTCTTAAGACTTCGGCAGCTCCACCAAATAAACAAAATCTCCAGGGACCGCGAGTTTAGGCTTAAAAGAACCTCCTCTATCATCAGAGATTCTCGAAGACGAAGAGGCCTGATTGGCAAGGGCCCCCGGTGCCCTGAGTGCGAGCAGGTTGGCGCAACACCTCCAGGAAGGAGAAAATCGCGGAGAAGCGGATGCAGTTAGCGGATGGTCCCGGCTGGTGAATGGTGGTTCCCGACGGATCGGGACTGGTTTGAATGGAAAAAAAGGCCAGAAACATGGGGGAAAAAATCGAGAAAACGGAGGAATGCACGCAACCAAGATGGCGCCGCATTGTGTGCACTCTAGATAGACAGGGACGGGAGCACGAAACAGGAATGGAAGCCGCGGGAGAATGGGGATAATTGCGTTGGAAATGCAGCAAGGCTCCTCCCCTTATTCAAACCTAAAGGCTGCAACTGCAAGTGCCAAGCAGCTCACTTTACAGCGCGCACACATGACACGTTTGGCCACTGACGACGCGAATATTCCAATGCACCGACGCCTGCCGCTCCGCCTTTGCGACGATCGTGCATTTGCGTCAACGACGATCAAAAGACTGATGGGAAATCTGGACAACCCCTACGCATCGATTTCCTGCTATTTTCCCTGTTACGTTTCACCGTGGAATTAAATTGGACGTGGCAATTGCTTTTTCCATAGATCTAAAGTTCAAATACAGGTGGACGTTGCAATTATCGAAAGATTATCGTGTGCATCTTTGGGGTTCCACGGTTCAGCAAAGAAGACGAAGAAGAATCTTCTAGTCGTAATTCGAGTTTTTCACATTAAATCCGATGAAGATAATCTCTCGTACGATAAAGTATCCAACGTACCGGCTGCTAATTTGTATACCCCAATTTAATTAAAGACTGACGCGCGCATTAGCATACCCAAACGCCATCCCCCAACTCGATCGATTAAGTCTTCAGATACTATCGGTGATTTATTCTTAGCCAGATAGTTTTCTACTGACTCATGAATCTAATTAACAGTAACTGTAAGCGCAAGCTTTGTCCGTTGCGTGATCCTTCTCCCTCGAGGATACTCTAGCAACATTCCAGGTAGCCACGCGACATCTACGAGCTGACGTGTTTATCAACCGAGTGATTTGCCAGTCATTGAAAATTGTCGAGTGGCTTCTTTGCTAAAAGTATAGCCGAGGTTGAGACATAAGTGTGTAATCGTCACTTGTCTGTCCCGCTAAGTTTGTCACACGGTAGGCAACAATCGGTGTAGTGTATAGCACTCCATTTTACCAGATAAATATTCTAAACATTTGTTTACCATTAAAATCTATTAAATATATTATTATGATCATGGTATACTCCATTACATGGGAACTCCATGTAAGTAACTTGAGTTAATTTATACATCACTGAAGTTACCACAGAAAATGGAGCTGAAAAACTTTCTAAATGTATTTACAACTAAGAAACGATTAAGTTTGCTCATTCCACGAGCGGCATGTGATTTCTATAAATAAATAATTATGTTTTTCTTCGATTCATTTGTACAGAAACGCCATATTGAGTTGGTGTCGTTATCTAGCGGTGAATGAACGAACCACTCTGAAATTTTTAATATTATATCAATATGTATTGAACAGGATGTCAAACTATGTCATTTATATAAACAAAAATATAAATAACATTCACATGAGTGTTTATCATACATTAATTACATAATACCTAGCGTTGGTATAGCAGAATTGATCTCGCCGTGTATTCACTGAATCCAGGAACTATTTCTCTACAAACTTGAGCGTTTTGTCGTTGACGGCACCACTTATAGTATAAAATAAACTATATGATTAATTCTATTGCAATACAAATAATGTTCTGCATATTTTATTTACATGACACACGCATGAATGTATTCAAATTGACAGTGGATTATGTTACAATGAACTTACATTAAAAAACTACAAGGACGCATTGGAGAGTCACTTCCTTACCAACCATTATATTATCAGTCGTACCAAGCTGATAAACAACGTAAAAGTTGGCGTTTTGAAATAAAATTTTACTAAACTGTTGCATTTACCGAGTATACAAATATTTTGCTGATTGTGTACTACGAGTATATGAGCATTGTATTTACATATATACACACCGATTTAACGATGTAAGGTGTATGTCACACGGTGTAGTGTTTACGCATGCCACAACGTGCTAACGCGGAATCGAAGCCGAGAAAGCGGTCCACTTTCAGTGTAACCCTAAGCAGAACGATTTATGTGTAGCAATGGTACGAAATGTATTTCGAAACAGTCCAAAGATCCTTTGGATCGGCAGTGCCTGTATCGGTACCTACATCGCGTATCGATATTGGAAAAAACGAGAGCTTCTGACAATAGACGAAGGCTTTGAAGAAGTGTCCAAGGTTAGAACTTCAATGTTCACGACTTGTTCCAGTGCTTTCTATCACTGGTTTAAAATTTCTCCTTATTTTCTTGCCCATTACTAGTCGACTTAGACTCGTCTGAATATTTTCTTAATCATTTTTGGAAAGTGACCAAAGATTTCAATACTAAATTGAACTCGAATTTAATATTGATCATTGTCACTTTATCTTTATAGGTTGACGATAGTCACGAAAAAAGAGTACTTCTATTGGGTTTAGAAGGAGCTGGAAAGACTTCAATTATAAATCAAATATGTGTTGCAAATGGGGATGAAAATTCTTACACCATTCCTCCAAAGTCAACACAGGGTTCCACTGTATATAGATTAAAACATGGGTCTTATTCTTATAATGTCTGGGATAGTATGTATATCCTTCTATTAGCATCTTGTTGAAAAGTGACATAACATGAGTGTAAAAATGAATGTAATTTTGTTGCTAGTCGGTGGTGCAGATGCCACTAGAAAATATTGGACCGCCTTCCTACAAGACACAGATCTTCTGTTGTTTGTAGTAGATGCATCTGATACAGACAAATTATCTTTGGCTGCTTCTACTCTCAAAGAATTGGTAGGAGATGCAAGAATGGATAATGTACCAGTTTTAGTAGTTGTTAATAAACAGGTAAATGTTAATGAATCAATGGGTTATGTCACACTTGAACTTATATCTAACAAGTTTGTGTATGAAATCAGGATTGCCCTAATGCACTGAGGACAGAAGAGGTTAAGAAAGCTTTAGATTTATTAAGTATCTCTCCTCACAAGCATAAAGTAGAACTAATTGGATGCCAAACAAGACCTCTGCCTGATCAGCCAGCAGACACAACTGAATGTACCTGGCATCATGAATCTGTTGATGCTGTTAGGAAAAAAATATTCTCTATGGCAACCTAAAGATGTAATTAATATTCTTAATTGTTTATTTAATTTGTTGAAAAATACTTTATATATAAAAAAAAGGAAGAAATGAAAGGGAATGAAGTAAGGAACAGTGTGCTTGATACAGCACACTGTGCCCAATTTGTCCATTATGAATTTGAATATAAACAATTTGTTCAAAATGAAACATTTTAACATAATGCAAGCATTAAAAACAACTACAAGGAAACATGTACAATTCTTAAGTATTGCTCAGTATAGTATATTTGCAATCTTCTAACTTTGTTGTACTTTTATACTGGTTTCTTTAGCATATATATTTATTTAATAAATTATTTATTTTCTTTACAAGGCCACAGTAAATACTGTCATATTTTTTATTTTAATTAAGCACAATATAAAATACATTATGTTACACTGACTTTTGTAACTGATATACAAAATGGTAAATGTTAGAGGTTATACGTATGAAAATATATATTTTGATGATTATCAATGTAAGTATTATATAAAACATGTCTTGTTTACTTAAAAAAGTAGTATTTGAACCTTTTTTTCTACTTCATATACTTAAATAACAAACACTTGTGCATTAATTCTATATTTTCATGATTTATGTACAGTCAAATACTTGAAATATGTCTTAACTAATTACAAAACTTTAATTGTCATTGCTCATTTTGTTTTGAAGATACTGATTATATTGCTCAGGAATGCCCTTAAATACTTTAATCTTAGCACGTATTTGTTTCCACGTTAATTGGTTATAGTTCTTCTTGTCTCGTGCCATAGCCTACATAATTTAATAGTAAGAGACATTTTTGTCAATTATTAAATAAATTACTTGAAAGAAAACATTACCTCATAATCTTCTCCATACTTGTCCATTAAATAGGTAAGAAACTGTACTTGATTGTTTGGTAGCTTGAAAGTTCGTATTCGTGGAGCCTTTGCATCTGCTTCAAGTTCTTTGGCTATATGACTTTTTTCAGTTTCCATGTTCATGTTTTCTTCTTCATCATCTGATATATCTTCAGAATCTATTAACTTGCGTTTTACTTTTTTGATTAGTTCTCTTTTGGCATTTGGAATTTTCAATACTTCATTTGAGTCATATGCTAAACCCATTTGTTTCAAATTACTTCGAGTGGACATGGTCACTTCCCATGATTGTTCTATTTGAGGACTGTAGACAGAATAGTTTCATTTTCTGATTTCCATTCATCCAGAATATAAACAAATATCAAAGCATGATAAATGTTTTTTGGTTATGATATTTACCATTGTACTGTTGGTAGTTTTCTTAATTTATTTCGTAATCGTTTACGATTAACGTTCATGCGAAATCTCTTCTTGCGCTTCACTTTTCTGACTTTTGTCATTTTTATAGATTTAAGTTACCACGTGTTCAAACTAAAATATCGTCTGAATCCTTCTTTCAAACTAGCATGCGCGAATTTAGTAACTGATGGCGTGTTCTACAGATTGGGCACCACTCCACACTTTTCCCCCATATTGAAATAAATCCCTATATTGAAGTAATGATCCGAAGTTGCAGTATTACGACTTATAAATTTAAAATTTAAGGTGGACTAAGCCTTTTGTCGATCAAATGCGATACAATAAGGACACTTTAGATTGTGGCATAAAAACACTGCTTTCGTATGAATCAAGTTCCAATCATTGTCCATTGTATGCAAATCATCCTTCTGACATTAAAGTGGAAATATCTTACAATTAGTACATGTTCGAAACTCTTTTCATGTAGCATAATGAATTTCGATCACGTCGACGATCGTATGTTGTGGCGCTTCCATTGTTACGTTTAAGTCTACATTAATCGAGAACAACCTTTTGTCACCATTTTTCGTTAAAATCCATTCCACGTTCTTGCATTTGAAAAATGGCGATCAAATAAGAAACACGTAGATTGAAAATGGAACAAAATGAATTGTGGTTCGTTACAAAAATTAAAATTTATTCGTCAATATTTTGGATACACAGTGTCTTCGTAGGGAGAGTCTTGCTTTAAAAAAAATATTTTTCTAGAAGAATTTGAACACATCATAAACACAAACAATAATCATTTACACCTATTTATATTCAGTTTTCACGCATGTACATCTATACTTGCTTGTACGCACAATTGATACACGTACAATATAATTTGACTGCTCTAATCGAGGTGATTGGTAATGAAATCGTTGAAAGTTTTATCTACAAAGATAGATCCGCTTGTTTCCATTAGTCCTTTCGTTTCGGTAGACTTTCAGTGAGGTTTGTCCGACCAAATTCGAACCAAACTGTATTCAAAAGTACTTGCATTAAAAAACCACTTAGGGAGTATTCGAGTCGAATTGGCTCCTTTGTACCCTACTGCACATGTAGGATGTTTCCAAAAACAAGGAGGACTAACGATCACGAAGAGTTCAGGTTTACCAGGAGTAGCTGGCGCCGATTCCGTTGAAGACGGTATGGGCGATGGGGGTTGCTGGGTCGATGGTCTTCGTGAGAAGTTGAGTTTGGTGACCGTAGTCGAGGATGGGTGCGGACTTGGCGAAGTACGGAGTGCTGTAAGTCTTGGTTAGAGTAGGACCTGCAGCATAGGTCGCGGGGTACGCCTCAGCGTGGGCGATGAGACCGCTCTTGGCGTAGAGTGGCAGTCCAGCGGAGTATCCCAGGGATGCAGCAGGTTCAATGTACGATTTTGCTAGGAGAGGCGAGGGTTGAGCGTAGTAAGACTTGGTTAAGAGAGAAGCCGATGGTGCGAGGTAAGAGCTGGATAGAAGAGGAGCAGATGGCGCAAGATAGGACTTAGTCAAGATGGAAGTAGCCGGTGCAGCGTAGGTCTTGGCCAGGAGCGGTGCTGAGGCAGCGTAGCTGATCGGTGCTGGGGCAGCGTAGGACTTGGCCAGGAGTGGTGCTGG